ATTCCTGCTCACACTCGCACGCAGCGCATCCAGATGGCTTGTCCCGAGGAAGAGACTCGGACTTACAAATTCCGAGCTGTCACGTCCTGCAAATGCAAGCGCTACACTCGCTACCACAACCAGTCTGAGCTGAAGGACTTCGGCAAGGAAACTGTCAGGCCTCAGAAGAACAAGAAGCCTCGTCTCTCCAGAGCCAGGAGCAGCAAATCTAACCAGCATGAGTTAGAAAATGCTTATTAGAAGGTGGCTCTGAGTGGTACAGCCTAGCAGCTCTGGATATTTTACAAAACATCAAACAGCACTCACAGGCCACAGCATGACGTTCTGACTGCAGCAGGTTCCAATTCCTTCTGCTAAGCTGAGTCAAAGGCTCACATAGTCAAAAATCTGTCAGATTATAGCAGTTATGGTCTGATAAAACAATGAGATAAACCGAGCTGGAGGTAGCAACGCCTAAATTCAGTATGAGGAGAGGTACACCTTGGAGATTCACATGAGGTCACGTGGCTGGTACAAGTAGGAAGGCAGAGGAAAGTGAAGTTGTTATGGTGACAAACACACTTTGTTAGAAGTCATTCTACTCACTTTAAGTGAAGAGAACACTGAGATCCCTTTCCTACCTTTCTAAGTGCCATGATGCAGGACAAGCGTGCAACTAGGGAAGCACCAGGAGAGTTACTACTCTCTGAATGAGTTATAGAAAGTTAGTGATAGCAGGGGTTTCAACAGTTATGGTGACTGAAATCAAATTGTTGGGAAATTAACATCCTGTCAGATGTCCTCATGCCCCAGCTGTTTCCTCTAAAACACAAAAATTAAAATATGACACTCGTGTTCTGAAAACTAAAGTGAAAGTGTGACAAATCTATCATAACTAAAAGACTGTAGGATCAACATTCAAAAATGAGACTTGACAACTAAAACCTTATTTGGTTTAGGGGCAATGATTTGTTTCAGGAACAATTAAACAAATTCTACTAATTGGAGCAGATTTATGAAATGGATGCTCCTCTCAAACCAGATAACCTCACTGATGTTTGTCCTACAAACAGCTAACAATGTGCATAATGTAAGATAAAAGAAATTGATTATTCCTTATTTCCTTGGACACAATTTACTTTAGTCTCAATTTACATTTGCTGTTCTGTAGAGTTTGGATTATCTAACCACACACTTTGTAGTGCTAAGACTGTGCAAGCCAAGTTCTGGGAGTAAGGTGCTGGTTCTGCATTAAAAGTGAGCCTTTGCCAATTTTAAAGTCATTAATTCCTCTAGAAAAGTCTTTGGTATGTGCAGCCTCGGTAAGTCCTTAGTTTGACAGCAACTTTGCTTTACTTAGCTTCTCCACATTCAGACTGATGTTTGTGTTTTTACTTTAAAGAATATTATTAGAAAGTGAATCATCACATTCTGTATATATCCTGTAGAAGTGCTAAGCCTAGTATCAGATGAACACAGTTTGGGATGAAGACAGTTCCTCACTGTTCTTATTTTCTGTGTAGACTTTATGCTGAAATCATATAAACTATGGAAATTTGCGATATTGATAGATTTTGCAATTGTTTTTTTTTTTTTGTTGGACCAGAACCTAGAAAGAAAAGGTATTGTTTCAGAGAGTGAATTACATATTTATTTTTTTCTCAGAAATTATTTATGCAAAGTTTTTCCTTGTAGAGAATAAGATGTACTACTGCTTTAAAAATATTAGTCTGCTATTTTTAATTTTAAATACATTGTTAATAAAGTAGAAACAATTATTAATTATAGGAAGACTCATTGATTTTCAGCTATAGTATAAAGCTGATTTGCTACAAAACCAGGAAATTACAGAACAGGCAGGGTGTTGACTGCAGTTTCTGTGATAGAGGGTGTCAGGGTCCTTAATTCTTAATCAGTAACACACATGTCTCTAAAGAAACTCCATCCTGGAACTTCTTGCTCCAATGGACAACATTTATCATGGAAAAAGTCTCCCAGGGCTGATGTGGAGCTCAGAACTATTTCAATATTCTCATTTCTGCTTCCCCTGGGGAAGAAAAACTCATCCGATTTCAGTTTCCCTCCTACTCCCAGTGACATTTCCTGATTCATACGTTCACAACCTGATAAAGCCACGAAAGAAAACAAGAAGTCTGTGAACTGTTGATCAAGATTTCTTGATTGAAATCTGATTGCTTCAGATTTCTCTCATTGAAAAAAAAGAAGTGTGGAATCCCCTTGCAAGTGCTGTCAAGCAAGAGTTAAACTTCTTAACAATTTGATATTGTAGACCTATGCCCATTTTCATTTATAAGGCCATGTTATTTAAGAAATAAAGACGTTTTTCCAATGGAGTTGGGGACAACTGGGCTTGGACTGCACATAGCATCCAGATATTTCAATGCAGCCAGTAGACAGGGTGTCCTTTCACTACTATTATTTGATACCTTACATAAAAACCTAATATAAACAGTTGTCCTGTCTGTGACAACATTTTCCAGACTTATCTTTGACTTTATGAATTTGGCACTTGGGGCTTAATTTTTTGAAATCAGCATGAACACCTGCAAGTGCTTCTTAAGCAAGAAAGGCAGTTCAGTGCCTCTGAAAAACTATTCCGTAGTCTCACTGGCATCTAAAGTTACTGGAATATTGTTTTTTAAATGCTAACTGTAATAAGCCAGTGAAAGAGACTTATTCCACTTTATCTGAGACTTCATGCTGGATTCCAGGCAGTTCAGAAGTATAGGGCCTGCTGGAGGTGAATCGGTAATATCTTTCTCCCAAACATTTCACCTTAAGATGTCCTCTTCCAAAAACACACCCAGTCATCCCACACAGTTGTCTTCTACCAAAAACGCAAAAGTTTCCTGCTGCTGAGCTGCGATTCAGAATCTTGCAGTTTTCTGACTTACATTGTAATTATTGGTCCTTTGCATGTTATAAAAGCTTTTACAAGAATGCCAATGGACAGGGAGTCCTGACACACTTATTCTATTATATTTCCTCTCAATACCCATCCTGTTTACAGTTGCTTCTCACTGGTTTCTTACCATAGGTTTACAGGGGATTAGATGAGCAGTCTGCAGATATGCTTAGTCTTCTGTAATCTTACTCCTGAAGCAGTCCCCTCCAACCACCTGTTCTGCAATTCATGTTATCAGGAGAGGAACAGGAAATAGTAGTGTTCTGCAAACAGCTGGATAAATCAAAATGTAAGATGTTTCATAGAGGCAGACTGCTACATTCCCTCCCCCCCCACCCCGAGTTCTTTTCAAACAGAGCATTTGGGTTTGTGTATTTGTTTTCACGCGCTCTCTCCTTTTTTTTGAAATCTCTAATAAAGGTGTGCATGATTTTAGCCTCAGATAGTACATATTACTTACAGCTGTTAGTAGGGCTCTAGAACAAGACAGAAATTTAGAGAGTGACTTACTGGTCTAATAAACTATGTCAATGTTTGGTGAAAGCATTATTTACGACTCAAGGGACATGCTGTACATACGAGATGCCATCTCTAACTGGGTGTTTGAGAATACATGTCTGCAGGAAATTTCAGTTTGTCTTTCACACCATATCTATACACTTCCAATTCTTTCCAAAGAAAAAAACTTGATACTGTACACAGAGGAAATAACTGAAAACAGAGCAACTTTATAGGTTGTCCTTACATCAGTGAAGCATTACCTGACACAAGACATACATGGGTCAGGCTCTTCCAGAGTAACAAATACTCCAAAGGAGCTTTGTAATGGGCAGAGACCTGATGTGTGCTCCTTTTACAGAAGCATTAAATAGTTTTTCTTCAGGACTATAAACTCTTCAGGCAAAAGTGATTTTCTTCATTGTAATTTTTACAATAAAATAGCACAATGGTGCGTAATTTAGGTGCTACTGAACTGTAAGTAGTAACAGGTCACTGGATTTACCTTCACTTGGCTGGAGACAGCTGTCTGTCAGCAGCTGAACAAGTGTCATAATGCGTAGTCCACAGAAAAACAATCAAGTTGCTTATTTTCAGACAGGATGCATGATTTCTCCAAATCAGCTCTGAACATTCATTTGTCTTCCATGTTTATTTCCAGCTTCTGTAGACAACAAACTGTCGTGCACTCTCTACAATTTGCTCACTGACTTACAATAAATAGTCAGTGTGCCTACTTTATTTCTTTTTCTGGCAAAAATACGACTCTGCTATTATTCAGAGAAAGATAAATTTACAGGCAGCACCAACAGTCTCCTGGTATCCACAAAGTCCCAAAGATTTTGCACGAGGTTCAATTTTTTAATTATAAATTGCACAATAAAGAACATAACTTTATCCAGTGAGGCCCTAGGCCCAGAAAACACATTATGCTTGTGTTCTGGAAATGTGGTTGAGGAAGTCAGCGTGATGAAATACGGAATGAATAAACATGTATTTTTTTAGCCATATGACATCAACTTGTAATTAGCTTGTTTCACTCAAATTAGTGCAGTATATGGGCACACAGAACAACTTTTCTATAGTAAACAGTCTCAAAAGTCTTAAATGAACATAGAACATATTTATATGTAGCTCGAGTTTGGATTGAACATAATGTGCACCTGTAATTTGAAATTTGAATAAACTGAAACTCCTCTTGATAGGCAAGTAATGGAAGTCCATCTTTAAAATAACTCACAGTTTAAAATAAAGCCAGTACGAGTTGCAGAACTTGCAACAAACACAGCTGATGTTACTCAGTTATACAAAACAGTGCAACTGCTCCGCTTTCAGTCTTAGACCCATCAAGGGACAATTCTGCACAGTTTTTTTCCAGTTGTATGCAAAGGGATGGATATTTCGCTTCTGTTCCCAGAATTGTGGGAACAGTTTTTACACTGAGTGCTGTTGCAACATCAAGCTGCAGTGTGTGACGTTCGAGGCTCCCAATGCCTGATTGTCTCTTCATTGAATTAGGAATATGTTGCTTTTCTGTATTTTTTGATGCCACAATGAATTTTACTCTCACTGGAGTATAATATACTGTTCCTGAAGCCTAAAGGGAAGGAAGTAATGCTGATTTTTGTGTCTCCATTAACCATTCCTGACACTGTATCATGAACTAGCTATTTCTTTCTATCCTAAAAGCTCTCAATGCTCTTTTATGAGGACAGGTTATTATTGTGAAAATAGGATAATAAAACTAATCAGAAAAAACCTGAGCAGAGGTAAAACTCATCAGCGCAAGCCCTGCTAATTCTGAAATACAAGTATAACAAACACAGCCAATCTTCAA